GTTGTTTTTCCTCATTATGTGTGTCAGCGTTAAGTTCACAGAGCTGTCCGGGTTTGCGAACACTTGACCTGAGCTGGACCGTGGGTGTCAATGATTCACAAATTTCAGCCCAACTGAAAATCTCTGGAAAGTCCTTGGCAATAAAGTTATGGCTAAGAAACCCACTACAGTCACCGAACTATGGAAGAGAGTGGAAGAAGCGTGGACCGAGATCACACCAGCGCAGTGTGAGAAACTAGTGATGTCCTGCAGCCGCAGATGTGCTGAAGTCACTCAAAGCAAAGGCCTCTACACTTACTAATTTTTGAGAGCTGTAACCCTCCAAAATTTTAGTTGTAATCTTCTTTCGCGCTACAGTAGTTACTGTTCTCTAATTTTGATCACTGTGTTTTCCACAAAATAAAGATTTTTGTTGAAATGCCTTGGTTATTTTGTCAAACATGTTAATATAACAGTGGTATACCTAATAGTCCTTCAAAATTTGAGCGATGAAGATTAACAATAACATTTCAGAAAAAATCAAGTATTTATAGATTGTTCTCAAATTTTGATCTCCACTGTATATACTGGGAAGGCAAGTTTTTTTTAAATGTAAACCTCATATGTAGATGTTTTTGAAAGAAGTGTTTTATGTTTACCAAGGCTGCATTTATTTGATTAAAACTAGAATAGAATAGATTAGATTTTTATTGTCATTGTTTTGAACAATGCAAGACTGTTTAGCAGCTCACAAGGTTGGCATAATAGACAAACATAAATAGATAAAAATAAAAATAAAATAGACAAGAAGAGAGGTATTCCAGAAGGTAATATATATAATGCTTAGTGCATTATAGTAGTGCAAACTGGAGAAAATTAAACAAAAACAACAGTGCAGAATACAGTATGCCTATACATAGTATTGGTGTATATTATAGGAATGTATATCAGGATGTATGATGCATGTATCTTGCTGGATCTGTCCGCTGCTTTTGACACGGTTAACCACCAGATCCTCCTGTCAACCCTATTGGCAAAGGGCATCTCAGGAACCGCACTTCAGTGGTTTGAGTCTTACCTCTCAGGTCCTTCAAAGTATCTTGGAGAGGTGAGGTGTCCAAGTCGCAACATCTAACTACTGGGGTGCCTCAGGACTCAGTTCTTGGACCACTTCTCTTCTCCGTCTACATGGCATCACTAGGTTCTGTCATTCAGAAACATGGCTTTTCATATCACTGCTATGCTGATGACACTCAACTCTACCTCTCATTCCATCCAAGATAACACACACACACACACACACACACACTCTCTCTCTCTCTCTCTCTCTCTCAGTGGACATTTCCGGTTTATATACGGAAAATTAGTGCTGGGCAGAAAAAGAAATGTAAACAGGGGAAACGGGGGAGATCAGAATCTAATTGCTGTGTTATTCCAGTGAACTAGCTTTTTTAAAACAGTGTTTCATTTCTGAATGTGACCACGTTTACAGCCTGAATGAGACGCTCATCATGCTCACTGAACTAGTAACTGAAATGCCGAGTGGCTGGGGTTTTATATCTAGTGAACTCAGGTCATTTGAGCCTCTTTGACACTGAGATGACCGTCAAATGTGGCTCATTTTACAGAGATTCACTCTATGTCATTGCAATATATATAT